GAGGTGGAGGCGGGCTGATTGCCCGAGGTCAGGAGTTGGAGACCAACATGGCAACACCCCATCTCTACTAAAAATAAAAAAAATTAGCCGGGCTTGGTGGCAGTTACCTGTAATCCCAGTTACTAGTGAGGCTGAGGCAGGAGAATTGAACTGGGGAGGAGGAGGTTGCAGTTAGATTGCACCACTGCACTCCAGCATGGGCAACAGAGCGAGACTCTGTTTCAATAAATAAATAAATTATGCTAGTTGCAACTCACTAAATTGATTTCATAACCCACTAATAGATCACAACCTTGTCTGAAAAGCAGTTAACTAGTCATCTCATTTTTAGACCAGCCCAGGTAGGTGCTAATGGTCATGCAGTGAATTAGTGACAGAGTCCAGGCTAAAACTCAGTTCTCAGAAGTCCAGATGATTAGTCCTTCCACTTAGAACAGTACTGTCTCCGACTGTAGGGCAAGACATGACACGCAGAATTCTAAAATTTAAAAGTGAGAGGGCCTCTGCAGATCAAACAGGCGATCCATTATTTTTTTTAAGCAGCAGGACTCTTTAAGCCCTGGAAGCAACCACAAAATATGTTTTAAATATGAGAGTGGAGAGCAGGCTCTGGGCCTGAGGCACTCTGTTGAACATCTGCCAAAGTTTCAGAACTAGCATTCAATCCTATGAGTTGGGACCACACAAAGCCTGTTAAGTCTCCTGACAGGCAAAACGCAATTTCCTAAGCAGCTTGGGACACATTTCTGTGCTGCTCCCCCACACCCCTGAGCTCGCATGGGAGGGTAGGTGAAAGAGTTAAGGTCCTGGAGCCAAGTGGAGGAAAGGTCTCTTTGTTCCGTGAGCCTCGGAGATTACAAGTGGCGGGGGTGGGGTGGGGCTGCCAAGACTTTGCACACCGAGGACAGTGCCCGCGACCTTTCGCCTGCTATTACTATTCCGGGGCCTGCCTGCTAGGGCAAAGGCTACTGACAGTGCCGGACACTAAAGCGGGGCTCCTCCACTGCAAGGAAGCCCTCCCAGTACTTTACATATGGGGAAACTGAGGCCCAGGTCTGGCAGCGGCTGCCTTGTCAAAATGAGAACACAAATCTATGAGAATACCTGAAGCACACCCCCCGACCCCAGGGTACCTCGCGTTACCTTGTTTGAGAACCTTTTTCCTGGCCTCCTTGTCAGTCACAAGGGGTGCTGGTGGCCGTTTGACATCCTCGAAGAAGGGATTCGGGGAGCTGCCAGGGAACAGTCCCAAGTAAACTTTGCAGAGACCGGCCAGCAGCAGCACGGCCAGGAGGAGCACCAGCAGAAGCCACATGTCGTAGGCGTCGAGTCGTGGAAATGGGCCAGCTGTGTCTGCGCTCAGCGTCTCAGGGCTGTGGCTCCGCCCCGGCTAGTTCGCTTTCCAGTCCGGAGGCGGAGGCAGCTTTGAGCACTGATTAGCCAGCCAGCGAGTAGCCAACTCTCCGGCGCCGATTGATCCTTTCGGCTCTCCGTACTTATTTTGCAGCGGGGCGTTTCCATTGCCTACTGAAAAATGTAGCTCTCGGAGCCAGGGGAGCCCGCACGGGAGAGGCTGTGCGCATGAGCGGATGAGGCCCAGCAGAGGCTGCGGCATCCCAGTTTGGAAAGCTCCGTTAACGGTAGGAACGCATCGGGCTAGCAGCCGACCTGAGGAGGGAGGGAGAATATCGGGTGGAAATGATCCCTATGGGGCGAGACAAGGCCGAAAGTTGTAGGACTGAGAGAATCCCGGCTGGGAGACAGGAGACCTGGGTTCCGGTCCTGGCTCTGCCCTGGACTCGCCGCCCTGAGATGTTCAATTGCTTTCCTTCTCTTACGTCTCCAAGCAATGCGAAAGCTTCTGTCCGAAGTCCGCACAGCCCGTCTGACTGGCTGTCTTCATGAATTGAGATCTCTGTTATCTGCGCATCACAGCCGCTGAGCGCCTGGCTCTGTCCTCTCAAAGTGGCCCATAGTTTTGTCCTGGGCGCCCGACTGGGACGGGGGTCGTCTGTGGCGGGTCCCCAATCACACCTCATCTCTGGGGAACCTGGGGAACAGGGAGCCGCCCAGGGACAAGCCTGGGGAAGTGGTCAGCGACGGGCCGTTCTAATTTAAATTCCTGTGCAGAGAGTCTAAGCTCCAGCAAGCAGTTGAAGAATCCTACGCCCTCCTTGCCTAAAGTAGGTGCATAATGAATACTTAGTTCGAGAAGGATCCATTTTATAGGAAGGCCATTTCCTTAGGTCCAATTATCAGGAGCTGCCTTTGAGTACTTGCTTGTTTTACAGAGATGTTGCTCTTTTCTTCTCTGATACAGTTAGCAACTGTCTCTACTGAAGGCCCAGCAGTGCTCCAGCCAGGTGTGGAAAGCCGGTCCGTGCTTCCATGCTACTTGGTTCATTTCCTACACAGCAACAAAAGAGCCACCCTGAGATTGCTATTACCATACCTGCCTGTCTCCTTGCCAAGGTTGGCCAATGTGTGTTTTGTCAGAGACTGCCATGGAGGCCATGGTGGAGGAAAAGGAAAGGGGGGGCAGATGCTGAGGCCCCGCAGGCCACAGTGAGAGCAGTTTAGTTCCTGAGGTGCCAAGACTAACGGGGCACTGACTACCCTGCCCTCAGGATTACAGTGAGCCACATGTCCAGACCAAGAGCCAGGAGGTGTTCTTCCTCTCAGTGTTAACAATCAAAGCATCCTTACAGAGATTCCGGCTTGTTACCAGCAGCCAGTTCTTATGGAATCAAGATCATTACCACAGTGGAGGGCTGACCTCAGAGAGGCCACCTTCCTTCTTTAGTCACCTAAGCCTGTGAACTATGATTGTCAGTTGTATGTGGACCATTTGCCCACTTAGGTACAATTTTTGATGTGACAGACATCCAGGATGTCCAGTTCCCCCATGATGAGGTATGAGCCTTGTCCAGCCCTGTTCCTGAGGCAAGCAATGTCAGATGAAAGACTTAGAGTTGGCCGTGGCTCACGCCCGTTATCCTAGCACTTTGGGAAGCCAAGGTCAGAAGATTGAGACCATTCTGACCAACATGGTGAAACCCCATCTCTACTAAAAATACAATAAAAAAATTAACTGGGCATGGTGGTACACACCTGTAAGTCCCTAGCTACTCAGGAGACTGAGGCAAGAGAATTACTTGAATCCAGAAGGCAGAGATTGCAATGAGCCAAGATCGTGCCACTGCACTCCAGCTTGAGCAACAAAACAAGACTCCGTCTCCAAAAAAAAGAGGCTTAGAGTTGCCCAAACTGGCTAGGCAGCTGCCACATGTACAGTATTGGTAATAACTGAGAAAGGTTAGAACATTGTGTTGCGTTTTGAATTTCTACCATCATTGGAACCAGGTCTAGTATTATAAGCCCCAAACCCAACCTGTGTCTGAGGCCTAAACAAAGCCTGAGCACTTCAGCTAAGACCACCCACCAAAGTGCCACCTTTAGCCTCACCCCTTTGATAAGCTGACCCAGGTCCTAGTAACTCCATTGTCAGAAACAGACTCCATTCCTTCTAGTGGTGCTGCTGCCTTTCTGGATTCACACAGAATCCAGCCCACAGTCCCCTGTGTGATCCCCTTTTTTCCATCCTGTGGCATGGGTAGCAAGAGCATTTGGCTGAGACAACTTGTTCTTTCAGAATAAATTCACAGCTGCTTAAATTTTGTCAACAGGCATGACTGAATAATGAAACCAGTTTTCTTTTTCAGTTTTTCTTTTGGGCAGGGCTGAGGCTACAAAGACCTCGGGGGACTACTACTTTCAAAACTCACAGAAACCTCCTACACGCTCAGGATGGCACAAAGGGACTATTTTCTTACTCTTGGTCTGAGTGACTGCCAAGAAGGAAGGCAAAGGTAGAGCAAATGGATCTCTGGCTCTCCACATGGCTTCTGATCGCAGTCCTTATTAAAATCCTTTCTGGGACAAAGCTCACACAAACAAATGATTTTGAGTTATGAATGAAAAATCTTGCTCTTTCCATAATGAGGAAGAATTAAGAGATGGACAGGTAAGCATGCATTCTTACTTGGGAAAGATGGTGTTGGTTTGAGATACATCATTAAGTATAGTAAGAATACATTAAGAGAATGTGAGGCTTTGGAAAAATTTAGAAACCCTCATTATAGCTCTCTTTGTTCTGTAAGAAGGAGTTTTGATTCACCTCAGGGTCAGTTGCTTTTCCTGATAGCCTGTTTTCTAAGTGAGTAATGAGATTTTTTTCTTTTTGCTTGGGTAGTGGAGAGAATTTCAACGAGGAATCACCCAAGAAATCTGTATGTCATTAATTTGGATCATTTACCTTGCTAGCCTCTTCCCTGTAAAATGCCTGCTTTGGCCTGATCATTCTCAGGACTCAGTTCAATGTGATAGGCCTTGTATGAGCCAGGCAGCTAACCCTACATGCCTTACCTTTCACACACTACCTTGCCCACCGGAGGCTGTGGGATTCAGTGGCCCGACTGGGACAAAGCCTTTTCTTTGGGTCTCTGGAAGGATTTTCTTCACTGTAGTAAGATGTGAACTGTTCCAAAGAAGGAAGTCTTTGGACGCTGGAGGGAACTGAAATGGAGAAGGAAAGGAAGGATGAAATGAATCTCAGGTACACAGACCCCTGCAGGAGGTTGTTCAGCACAATGAATCGCCAAATATTTTAGAGAGAAAATTTCAACAAAAATTCGAGACAAATATTTTATGCTTAGTACTGTGCCAGTGGATGTGAAACATACAAAAGAAATATAAGAGGCCAGGCGTGGTGGCTCATGCCTGTAATCCCAGCACTTTGGGAGGCCGAGGTGGGCAGATCACCTGAGGTTGGGAGTTCAAGACCAGCCTAGCTAACGTGATGAAACCCTGTCTTTACTAAAAATACAAAATTAGTTGGGCGTAGTGGCGGGCACCTGTAATCTCAGCTACTCCAGAAGCTAAGGCAGATGAATTGCTTGAACCCAGGAGTTGGAGGTTGCAGTGAGCTGAGATTATACCACTGCACTCCAGCCTGGGTGACAGAGTGAGACTTCATCTCCAAAGTAAAAAAAGAAAAAAGAAATATAAGAGAAGGTCCTTATACAGGACTTTTGCAGAGGAACTTGTTCTGCATACAAGGGCCGTTGGACTTAGAGGCATGAGACAGCATTGTAGCCCCAGCTAATAAGGTAGGTTTTCTTGAGTAGGTGGAACTTATCTTGATCAGAGACAAAGGTGGAGGTGTATTCTGGAGGAAAACTACATGAATCAGGAGATGAAAGTAAGGAGAGGAACTGCAGCAGGTGTGTTCATTGGATTACAGTGGGAAATAATAATTCTTGGCATCTCGAGGTCCATTACCAGGAAATTTGGGCTGCTGTGGGGTGTTTTGGCCACCATTCTTGCATCTGGAACGTGAAGAAATGAAAGCTGTGTTTAACGAGCATTAGTTGGAGGGGGGAAAAAAAGCAGAAGGATTAGAGTAACAGGATGATCCGGGATTCCAGGGCCTTGCATAATACATTCACATGGCTCAAAATCCAAAAAGTGCAGAAGGATATATGTATTGTGAAGAAACTGCCTTCCACCCTTGTCCCCCAGTTTTTCTGCTGGAGACAAAGCTACTCCTTCCTTGGGTATAACTCTGAAAATGGTCTCTGCAAAGACAAGCAAATGTGCTTATGTACTTTTAAAAAATAAAATGGTAAAATAGTGTATAGACTCGGTCCTTTGCTTTTTCACTTAATACATCATGAAGATTGTCCCATATTGCCTGTAAAGCACTTTCTCATTTGTCTTTATGACTATATAGTATCTCACTGAGTGAACGTGCTTTTATTTATGTAATCAGCCTATTAGTGAACATTTAGGTTTTTCTAGCCTTTTGCTATTATAAACAGTGTGACAATGAATCACATGTAAATGTAAACATGTCATTTTGCACGTGGATGAATATATCTGTTAGATAAATTACTAGAATGCAGTATCAGGCCCCACAAATACAAAACATACATGATTAGGTACCGTCAAGCTATAGAGGTGGTAACAGTTTACTCAGCAGTGTGTTAGCCAACGTACATGTTATCAGCCTTTTTTTTTTCTTTGATACGGAGTCTTGCTCTGTTGCCCAGGCTGGAGTGCAGTGGAATAGTCTCCGTTTAAACCACTGCCTCCCAGGCTTAAGCAGTTCTCCTGCCTCAGCCTCCCGAGTAGCTGGGATTACAGGCATACACCACCACACCCAGCTAAGTTTTTGTATTTTTAGTAGAGACGGCGATTCACCATGTTGGCCAGGTGCTCCTGAAGTCCTGACCTCAGGTGATCCACCCACCTCAGCCTCCCAAAGTGCTGGGATTATAGGCATGAGCCACCGTGCCCTGCCGACTTTTTATTTTTTTTAAATGAGGGAGGCTGAGCATTTGTTCATATGTTTCAAACCAATTTGTGGGCCAGGCGCGGTGGCTCACGCCTGTAATCCCAGCACTTTGGGAGGCCGAGGCGGGAGGATCACGAGGTCAGGAGATCGAGACCATCCTGGCCAACATGGTGAAACCCTGTCTCTACCAAAATACAAAAATTAGCTGGGCGTGGTGGCGAATGCCTGTAGTCCCAGCTACTTGAGAGGCTGAGGCAGGAGAATTGCTGGAACCTGGGAGTCGGAAGTTGCAGTGAGCTGAGATTGCACCACTGCACTCCAGCCTGATGCCTGGCAACAGAGCAAGACTCTGTCTCAAAAAGAAAAAAGAAAACAATTTGTGATTGTGCATGATGGCTCGTTTCTGAAATCCCAGCACTTTAGGAGGCCAAGGTAGGAGGATTGCTTGAACCAGGAATTTGAGACCAGCCTGGGCAGCCATATGTAGACCCCATGGCTACATGGGTATGGTGATATGCACCTGTGGTCCCAGCTACTTGGAAGGCTGAGGTGGGAGGATCGCTTGAGCTAAGAAGATGAGTAAGCCATGATCGTGCCATTATACCCCAGGCTGGGCAACAGAACAAGACTCTGAAAAAAACAAAGGAACAAACAAAAACACCATTTGGGTTTTGTTTTGTGTAAACCATCTATATCCTTTGTCTAATGTTTCCAGTGGGTTGAGTTTTTTTGTTTTTTTGTTCTGTGTTGTTTTGTTTTGTTTTGAGACGGTCTCACTCTGTTGCCCAGGCTGGAGTGCAGCGGCGTAGTCTTGACTCATGGCAATTT